GCGGCACATTTATTAAAATGAACTGTAAAAATGAAGCTGTTTCTCTGAACAGGTGTATGTCTTCTATATGTGAGTCTCTGACCAGTCCATTGTAGTGCAGTATGTCACATGTGACAGAAGTGGGTAGGAACCGAGATAACAGGAAAATGTGGGAGTGGCATAAGCAATTGACACGCACTGTAGTTGCACTAGTATCCATGAAAGTCAGCGTCAAACATAGATCAACAAGTTTTTCAGATTTGCAGACATTTTGCTTGTGGACGCGAAATCGGACGTAAGCAACTTCTTGTATTAAATTTTTGAGGGTTCTTAGGTTGTTTTTCAATTAACACACCATGTGACTAGCTCGAGGAATTATATGCGTGATTCATCTCTGATGATAACTGAACCTGACAGAAGGATTGAAAGTGAAAGGAGATTTGTTGGGGAAAAACCGTCTGAATTACCGTTTTCTTTATCCTTATTCCAGCGATATCTCTTATAGGCGAACATGATGAGGAAAGCGCCCATACACAGGAATTCGCCAATGAACATGCATGTTGCCTGAAAACATAGTATTTTCCAGCTGAATCTACATAAGTAGATGAAAGGATTGAACTGAGTATTTCCAAGTGAATGTCTTTTCCTTCTTGGGCTCTTGTAAACCGCCTGAATGGAAGCTGCACGTGCTCTCTTACCTTGTTATCATAACACAATTTTCAAAACCGACCAAGAAATAAGTTGTCCCGGGGGAATTGTATAAACGGATGCCGTTCACGAGACTCCCACATGGGTACGCGCACTATTTATCGTTGAACAGCCTTGGTGCTCGTTTTCGGTCCCTTAGCTTTTTCATTTCCTATAATTTTGTACACTTCCAAGCAAAATTGACCGTCGGGGATGATCACTGGTTGAACCCAAACTTGCATGCACTTTTGATTTTTGCAATAGCGAGACTCATGAAGTGCGACCAATCTAGCGCTGTTTTCGACAAAAATCATACCTGGAGAAATGGGTGGTGAAATTCTTGGCCCATTGCTTCGAGTTTGTCAGCCCACTTTGCACATATTGTGTTAAGCGAGCCAGTGATGACCATCAGCACGCAAACGCTTAGTATAAAAGCTCGGCTTTTTTGCTGTGTCATCTCGAAGCACGATTGACCTAAGGAGTATAATATCAGGGCAAAAGCGTGATGAAAGACAACAATTTACAAATCGCAAGTTCACATTTTGAACAAAGCGTCTATGACTTATAACTCGCAAAAAGAAACCAGGATTCCAATCTTATCACTGCTCAGAACGAACTCTGATTTTTGTAAGCTGTCACATGTCAATATGCCACTTGTAAGGACGTCTTCCGATATGGAATTATACGGCTTTCTTTTCTGGATCATTGAGAAATGAAGCTCCAAAGGCACATCATATTGTGATAGAACGAACGCCGCACAAAGATGCCCAGACAACGTAGAGCGAGCACCGCATAAAGAAGCGGAGAGCACCGTATCGCACTTTGCTGTACTGGATCAAATTCCATCGAGAGACCACGATGTTACTTTGCTATGTTGACCCAGGTAGTATCGTAATAGCCCGTTCCCTAGAGAGAAATCATTGCAGAATACAGTGGTAAGTAAGGAGTTGTGCTCTCGAGACAGGACTGTTCGGCAACATATTTATTTATTTATTCGTTTATTTATTTATTTATTATGCACAAAGGTGCGCCACTAAGAGAGCCTAGTAGAGAAACAATGCACAGAAACACAGAAAAGCCGTCAAAACTGAAACCATGTGTGGAATAAATGAGAGTTCTTAATAGTAGAAGATTCGTAACACCATCAGATTCATATAAAGCCCAACCAGCGATTGTAGCGTTTTGTTTTGAGTTGAAAGCCGAAATGAAAATATGGTACAATTCGATGCGATTGCAAGGGAGAGGGAACTGTAGCGGGCAAGGAGTCAGAACTCTTTTCTGACCTTTGTCGGACAAAAAGACGTAATGGGATGGAGATTAACGGGTCAGAATTTACGGTTCATCGCGAACAAGGATATATAGGGCTAACTTCTAATATGAAAGCACGAGCCCACATTAGTGGCGCAGCAAAAGAACTGAGTATTCAGTTGCGAAGTCGAAGGCTCGGTCACCATCTACGCCAATGAATTCTATTCGACTCGGGACGGAAGTTTGAAGGCGGTGGAAGTGATTAGAAAGTCATCACTCCTTTTATCATCACTTGTTTGAGATTCTTTTAGCAGTTCTTCCAACAATCTCCTTTCAATCTTCTTCAAGAATCGAAAAATCAGTCTAGTGCTGACGATAGTGATGGCTCAGTCTTCGTTAAACTTATTTCGTTTTCAAGCGATCATTTTAAATGGCTCTAAAAGCACTGTATTCCGTGGAAGATGTGCTACTTTCGGCTTCGAAGGGAGCAGTCATGTACATCTCCATTTATGGCCCCTTGCAGGATGCTTTGTTCCAATACTGTAGTTCATTCTTTTTTTCAGAACAAGGAACATCTTCGCTGGACATGGAAATCTCCAAACGATACAACAAAGCTTAACTATTGGTGCTTACTTAATGTTGCCGTATTTCCATCCTTGCCCTTGTGCAGTGGTTCTGATCATCGACTCCTTCGCGCTAAGGTCGGGTTCAGTCACAAGCTGGAGAAGATCTCTCAATATCGCGCAAAGAGCTTGAAACATCTTGCATACGACGGAGATACGGCGAAGGTTCTGAATGACGCTGTGTCCCGATAGGCAGGTCGTAGATGACCCACTGAAGACCATGTCGTACTGAATCGAAGTTTTCTTATTTGTGCTGAACAGACCGAACTTCCTCAAATAGATACCTCCATTTGCATTTCAGATGCGACGTGGAGCGTGCTCAGGACAAAAAGACTGGAGGCTTGACCAGATCGCCACACATCTTAAAAGGCTGCAAACAAACATCGTCAGACATTCAGCTATAAAGGAAAGGAGGCTACTGGATGCAGTCCTGAACAGAACTAGTCTGAAATCATTCCGACGGGATCTTCAGGACCAAGGGTTTCGCTTTCATGCTTGAAGAATAAGGACGGACTTACAACATAAAGATTTGAAATGTAGGATGTTGCACAGACTCTGTACCAATCAGCGACACACGTGCGAATCCAGTTCCAATTGGATGAACAGCACCTCGGATCATTACTTTGGAGGGAGGGTTGCGATTGCAAGCATGAAAATGGGCACTACTCAAAGCCCCGACAAGATCTCCGCCGACCTACTCCGTGCATGTGGTCACAAACTTCAGGCGCTTCTACCTTCAGGAAAAGTGGACCAGAAAGAGAGAGAATCTCCCAAGTGCTCATCCTTCATAAAAAAGTGGACCGAGGTGGCTTTGGCGAATACCGCCCAATAAGCTTGTTGAGTGTCGTTTACAAGCTGTTGACGAAGACCGTTCCGACCCTCACAATGCGAACGTTGGATGAAGCCTGACTTGCTGAACAGGTCGGATTTTGGAGAAGATTTGGCTCCTCATCTCATCCAAGCTGTCGCAATGGGCACTGAAGCGCTTCGAGTATTTCTTAGGTTTCTTGTCCTTACCTTTGTTGACTATGAAAAAGCTTTCGACAGTGTCGAGACGAACGCGGTCCTGTCAGCACTGTTCGATCAAGGGGTGGAGCCTCCCTATATAAGAACACTAGCTAACTGTAGCAGTCACTGCAGTGCGACAATGCGGCTCAACGAACTAGCTCCTTACCTTAAGGAAAGATGTAAGACAGGGCGACACTATTTCACCCATGCTGTTGACAGGCGCGCTGCAGTGGGTTTTCATACACGAGGTTGGAGTTAGGGGGTATTAGCGTGGATGGACGATTCTTATCAAATCTCCGTTCTGCGGTGAACTCTACTTCCAAGCCGCGTTGCAGAAACTGGCACCATGTTTGCAGAACTCAGTGAGGCAGGAAAGAAAGTAGGGTTGCGAATCAGCCAAGCAAAGACACATTCCATGAAGAATGCTTTTGCTGAATTGCTTTGACTGACGAGGGTCAAACTCAAATCGATAGTACACCTATCAAGGAGACCTCTTCGTACTTTTATCCCGGGCGTTTCATGAACATGGACAATGACATGAAGGAAGAACATGTAATACAGCAGGAAGCAGTGTGAGCGACCTTCGGACCACTTCAAGAAATCACCAACCATCCACCTCATCCGGAACTTCGCACTCATCTGTTTCCACAGTCTCCCGCACCTTCTTACTTGTCGTAGGCACGGGTAGCCAGTGCATCCGCGTCAAGGTCTGTGAGTGTAATTCACAGAACACTCGAGCAATGTCTTTTGAGGTTCAACCAGCTCACTTAATATCGAGCCAAGCTACGCAACTACGCATGCGCAGAATGACTTGCCTTCGCTATTCGGCGGAATACATAAATGGTGGAATTTCGATGAGCCAGTCATATCATGAGAAGAGACAGGACAGGTTGGACAAGATGAACGGTTGGGTGGGTCTCTGTAGGGTTTTCATGGTCTAAGGGAAATTCTGCAGCAGGATGGGAGGAGGCGCTTGTAGACCACGTAAAGCAGCTGAACGATTTTTCTCATCGTAATTTTCATCAAATTTTGAGTCAACCATGGATGACAATCATGGCTGAAGATAAGCCGTATAAGCATACGTCACAGCTTCATCTCTCCGTGAGGTTATGGCGATTTCTTCTTATTTTTCTTCATTTGTAGCGACGTCAATTTTCGTAGATTGACAAAAGTTAAGCAGATCGCCAATTCGATTCCCGATTTTCGATTCCCTAAGACCCAATGGAAATTAGTTCTCTCGAGCTATTTCAATCGAGACCTACTCTTTTCCGCTTTCCATGGTTCCCTGAAAGGCACATGCACATATCATTCCAACGCAGCAACAAAGTAAAGGAAACAACGATCAAGAATTAAAAGCACATCAGAGGAGACAGAGTTCTTTTTATGTGATGAGACTTTTACTTGCTCACTCATTAAGACATGTCTTGTTTTCATGAAAAGGCGAACGCATGATTCACCCTATCTCATGTATGCCCGTTCTTCTGCTAACAATGAACGTCATAACGGAAAAACCCATTTGGGAACCACTGAGACCAGTCCCTAACTCGTAATCTGATAGCGGAAAGTCGAGAAAAATTCTAGGATAAGCTGCAGAAATGACAGAAGAAGTTTACGGAGAAGGGGAAGATGACTAAGTTTTTCAGTTTTATGTAGTGTGCTGAACTACCAGTAAACCGCCTCGAGGATGAAATCGAAAGGGTACGAGACTTTCACTAGTGAGGGAGTGAACGAACCGCTTGTGCTGGACAAGGCTGTAAAGGCCTGATTCAAAGCAGTACGATGGAATGGAAGGAACTTACTAACATCGTTTGCGACCTACGGTGCTCTAAGACGCTCAAGGGGAAGTTGTCCGTACAGTGATGAGGCCCATAACGCTTGAGGGTAGCGAGTGCATATTAGTGGCATAAATCCTGCTTTCAACTTCTTTTCACTGAAATGAGGGTGATCCAATGAGCTTGAGTTTAGATGGACAGGGTCAGCAACAAAGACCTCAGCTAGGATATTGCAAACAGTTCCTGTCCAGTCGAGAGAGTTGGCAATCGCATAGGCATGTACTGATGGTGAGGAGGCCGTAAAATCATTCGATAAGGGAATCAATGAAGTACGAAGCTCGAAGAAAGCTTTCATGAGGGGAGCCGAAGAAGTGGCTGAACGTGATCAAATATAGCACGCTGATACTGAAGTAACGGTAGAAGGTGGCGTAGATAGAAGTAGGTGAAGAAAACCTATAAGGTCAAAAGATCCTGCTACGGCGCGGAAAGTGCAGCGTGATGCACTTTTTTCTTGAAGGCATTCCGCGTTGATGGGGACAGTACGTGAACGGAGCCTAACTTGTACAAGAGTACTTTTCACCTTCCTTGATACACCCAAAGCCGCCAACACCTTCCAGAACCTTACTCGACGATATACGACTAACCATAAGTCCAGAAGGTTTTCGCTTTACGTATTGTATAGCTCATGTGCAACTTTCGAACAGCCATTCGAAAAAAGCTGGTCATAGTTTGCAGAATGGGAAGATCTAGGAGGAACC